GTATTTTCTTTTTTCGTTTATTCATTAATCATACGGCCTTAGTTGTGGTAGGTGAAGGTAGATGAAAAGAGTTCCATTTATTTCTCCGATAGCCTCGACAGTAAAGGTATCTTGCCAGATTTCCAGGGGTCCTGCACTACTTTTTTTGACATGCTGATTCCAGGAATGTGGGACTGGCTACTGTTTTACATTTTCGCAGTCGATCCAATAGGAAGTGTGTTTCAAGTTGCAATGCAGGGCCAGTCGAGAAGGTGGCTTGCATGCCGTCTTGCCGCCAGCCCGCCGAGGCACGCCGTCGACGCCTCATCAGCCTCCGTCAGGGGCACACGATAACCTACCGGGTTACGTCAAGCGTAAGTACGTAGGTTGTATGCGCCCTGAAATTTTCTGCTTTCTTTTCCTGGGAGCCACTGCGAGGCCACTGCGCAGAGCGGAATCGCAAGCTGGACCACAAGGCCCCACCCCCTTTTCCCATTTTTTCTGTTTCAGCTATTCTTGCGCAACGCAATCTCCTGCCGATGGTTTGCACTCTGTAAGGTAGGTAAGTAATAATTTCGTCCCAACTACCATTCGAGGTCATTCCTCCGTGTCTAGGTCAAGATATTCATAGACATTGGGCTTCTAAAACTGCAATCGTTGGTACTGCTGTGAGGCAAGCGACCCAAGTAAGTAAGCTATTGCGCCGCAAGTCTACATATCACCGCAACCGCCGTCTCGGAACCATCTCACCAACCCCAGAATTAGCATTCCATGTCTCCTGTCCACTGATCTACATCCGGACACCACTTCAAAAAATTTACTCCTGCCTTGCCAAACTACCGAAGTATCTGTTGTTGAATATAGTCACTATAAACCCACCCGAATTCAAGGCTGTTGTATAAACGACTATTGCGAAGCCAACTGGGGGTGCTTGCGACCAACCGCTACCTTAGTACAGCACGAGCGACGTCATACTTCATTAGCCTGTTCAATAGTCGCGTTGTCGGTAAAAATATCCCCGCCGGTAGGTAATCCCAAGAACATCAAGTACATTGCATTGTGCAAGGACCCGTCGCCCTCCCATCGTCACGGCGCCACCAATGGCGGATGGCATGATCTCCATTATGTATTCTTCCTTGTGTCTGTCGCAATGGCCTAAGCTGGGATCTTCGATTATGAGATGAGTCCGAGGATGAGACAGAACAATGGAGCAGATCTGAAGCTAGTAGATCTGAAATCCAACCTCGCCAATCATGCCCGCCATACATTGGCGGATTGATGATACCGTGACATGGCGCTGATCACAATGCCAGCGCTTTGTCCATTGCCCACTTCGCGCCCAACGAACCAAGATCAGAGCAAGATCCTTTTATACAAACCCACCTCCCCAACCGCCATTCCTTTTCCAACCCTACGATCGACAACAGTCCGCGTATGCCTCACCGCTTCAGATACTGCGCTTGTACCGTGATAACAATTCGTTATCAAGCCTCACGCGTAAGCGCTCGGGCTGCTATCTCATAATGCAAATTCAGCTTCAATTCAGGACATTTAAGAACCTCTATGTATCAGTCAATAACAGCACAATCCTTTAATGGCTTTAATCGAACGGAGCCGGGCAGAGATGCTTGAAATACCAGTGTCTACAACTCAAAAAGCATCAAAGCAGCCTATCGAGCTTTGACCGACATCAGCTCACGATTACCCATGCATTATCCGAGTATCTGGTCCTTACACCTATCTCCCTCACGTTTTCCTCACCTGCAGGAATTTGGTTTTATGTAGAGCGTTGACAATCTTGGTAAAACGAAGCGAAACCCTTCATCTTCATCTCATCTTTCCTGGTTTGAAAGTGCTTCCACAACACACTAACCGCCGTCGATCAATGTAAATTCCGTTCGCCATTCCGCATCTTTGCTCAACAATCTGTTGCTCCGTGACTGCTTTACAGGCGAGGCTATCGGAGAAATAAATGGAACTCTTTTCATCTACCTTCACCTACCACAACTAAGGCCTCAAATAACGTATAATTAATAGATTAACGAAAAAAGAAAGTACGTAAAAATAAAGCATACTAAAGAACTATTATTTAAACAGTTGATCGAATTTATTTCATATTAATTGGTTATGTAGTCGATATATAATATATAATACATCATAAATGTATGCTGGGTGAAAAGAGTTCCATTTATTTCTCCGATAGCCTCGACAGGTGGGGTTGAGAGACAATGATGTGTCTTACTTATAAGGGACTTACATGGGAGTACATGATACAACTGGCTTTTTCAGATTGTCGGGACCCCAGCGAAGTTTCCGCTTGCCTTGAATTGCCTACACCAGCATGTCACCCCAATCGCCTAGTTGTGTCTCCTAGACCTTGTACAAAATGGTCTGATTACGAGATTATATGGACGTGCAGGGCAATGGTCTAGAGAAGTGGTCGAGGTAAGTAATGTGGGATGGCTTCGCATGTTCGGAGCATCGTCTCACGAGTAAAACTACCAAATGTTCAGAGTTAAATGATAGAATTCGTCTTATACCTCAGCTTGAAAGAAAAGCCACGCTTCGAGGCCGTGGAATTGTTGTCTCTACATCACTGTTGCCCTGTTGAACGGAGTCACCAACACACAACTCGAACAATGATCGCTGCAAACGCATAAGATTCAACGTCAATCCCCAAAAAGTAAACAAATACGTAATACCGAACACTCAAATATTAAACGAAACCAAAAGTACGTGACTTCCAACAAGCCATCAACGTGACCCAAGTTGAGATCACGTGACGTCGCATTGCCATCGCGACACCTTCATCGCGACGCGTCCGCAACCAGCACCAGCTATCATCACATCTCCTTCAGACAATCTCATATCACCATGCGGCGATCACTGCGAAGCACCAGTCAAACAAAGCCTAGTGTTTCGAGGGAAAGCAGCATCACCATCAAAAACAAATCCTCAAATACACACTCGAGAAAGAGAAAAGCACCTCAACCGCCAACGAGCGACGCGTCGCAAGACGAAGATGGAGAATTCAAAGTCTCCGAATCAGAAGCCGAGGCCGGAGTAGTCCCAAAGAAACGCAAAATTTCACGCGACAGGAAAGCCAACAACGTTGCACTTCATCAACAATTATTCAGTCGTGACAAGCCGCAAGCTAATCCGTCATCGTGCCATTTACCCAAGCGCGTCCACAGCCCGTCTTATCACAGACCACTTCTCCTCGACAGTCTGAAGGGACGGCAAGACCTCCTGCAATGGTTCGAGGGCGTTCATCATGCCCGCTCAATGCCATGGCGGAAAGCGTGGATAGACACCCGTCCCGCTGGCAAGAAACTGGACCCCGAGCTTCGTGAAAGGCTAGAGCGCCGCGCGTACGAAGTCTGGATTAGCGAGATAATGCTGCAACAGACGCGCGTAGCTGTTGTCATTGATTACTGGAATAAGTGGATGGATAAATGGCCTACTATCCACGATCTGGCTGCTGCTGATGCCGATGATGTTCTCGCTGCATGGCGCGGACTCGGGTACTACAGTCGGGCGACGAGGATCCATGAAGCTGCGAAGAAAGCCTGCGGTGATTCAACCTTGAAGGGTCTGTTGCCAGATAATGTCGAAGAACTGGTTAAGAAGGTCCCTGGAGTTGGACCGTATACCGCTGGTGCTATTTCTGCAATTGTCTTCGGCAAGGCAGCGCCAATGGTCGATGGCAATGTGCTGCGCGTTCTGAGTCGGCAGTTGGGCATATTCGGAGATGTGAAAACAGACAAATCCGTCATCGATTTGTTATGGGCAGCGGCTGCTAGCCTCGTCAAGGCCGTTGCGCTTGACGGGGATAATATCGAGACCGCCGATGCACCAGAAGATGTTATCAGTGAGCGGCCAGGTCAATGGGGCCAGGCGCTCATGGAGCTCGGTAGTACGACCTGTACGCCGAAACCAAATTGTGACGAATGCCCCATCACTGCAAGTTGCCGAGCATACAATGAGGGTCTACAATCAGCAGTCAAGAAGGGTCTCGCGCCAAATGATTTGCTACCTGCTGACTCTGAGTCTACTCGAGTTCCTGATATCGAAGACTCGTGCAACTTCTGCAAGCCTTTCGAAGAAGCAATAGAGTATGCCGAAGACGAGAACACAGAGGAGGTTAAAGTTCCGTCAAAGAAGAAACCCCCACCTCCAAAGAATACCAAGACGAAAACATTAAGACAAGCAAGTCTCTCAAAGTTCTTCACAGGATCCACGGAACAAAGCAAAATGCCCGAACCAGCGCCCTCGGAACTCACATCTGCAGGATTGAACACGATCATCGATCACACAAGAAAGTTCCCCGTCAAAATAATCAAAAGAGCAGTCCGCGAAGAAGAAACTCTCGTATGCGCTATTCGGCGCAACGACGGGCGATACTTGATCCACCGACGACCCCAGAAGGGCCTGCTGGCCGGTCTCTGGGAGTTGCCAAGTGGTGAAATCTCCGAAGGGCAGGAGAACAGTGTCAAGGGTCACAAGCGAGCTGCTCATGTCTACGCTTCAGGTGTTCTGGATCCTTCTCTCCGACGTAATTCAGAGATACTTCCCCAATTGAAGTTGGTTGATAAGCTTGGTAGTGTACCATGGCTGTTCTCTCACCTCAAGCTGATTATGCACGTCTTTCTCTTCGAACTCAAGTTATCTAACGTCGAGATTGACGCTCTCCCGAAGACAGATGATCGATGGAGCGAAAACATAGAAGACGAAAGTATGGGCACGGGAATGCGAAAGTGCTGGGAACTGGTGCGGAGCGCGACGAATGAATAAGCTGGTTTTCGCATTCACAGATATATCGACGAATGTGTAAGGCTACGTTCTGCTCTATTCGACCAATCACTCTCAGGCCACACTTGATTGAATTGACAAAAGACCTCTGCCGGTGTCATTGATGGCATATTTAACTGCCAATGACCCGCTTCCATCCCATCCCTCAATACAGTAATAGTCCACCGGCCGGATCATCCGCGGATGAACCCGGCAAAAAGCAAGGAATATGGTCAGTATACGGATTGAACGTATGACCTTCGCAGTGTGATTGCGATGCTCTAACCAGCTGAGCTAACCGACCAGTTCTGTTAGTTGAGGAAAGAGAGCTTGTAAGTCTATATCACGCCTGGTCTGGACATAAGGGATTGGCTGGACACTTGGTACAGGGATGGCTTGCCAACTCTCCTCATCGAGGATGAGGCTGGTGTTCACCTCCGAGGCACGACGAGAATAATCTGTGACCCCTGTCTTGGTCCCTGGCGTCCCATAAGACGAGTACCACATATCTCCCGCCATCAAGTCCAGGCTTGGAGTGCCCTCTACGATTGTAGAATTCCAGTGATAATATGAGGTCACGTTCTGCCTTGTGTCCATACCTCCAGGTCCGGTCGTAATTCCCGTGAGAAATGGAAGTATGCTGATACCATGGTACGATTTGCTTCTATCTGCCCAGCATAGAACGGATCCCGGGTTCGTCGTTGCGCCTTCTTGTTGGACCTTGTACGCGCTAAAAAGGTTCATAGGGTACGTGTATCGAGATATAATGTTTGAAGCCGAGCTTACATGACTGCCATTCGAAAGCATGGCGAGTGTTTGGTTGTAGCCAAGATCTGTTATGTTCTGTATGTTGGTGTACGAGACATTCTGAGTCCAGGAGACAAGGCGGCTTTGCCCACCATTGGTGATGGTTGCAGCTGCTGAGATACTCCGCTGGGCGCTGAACGCAAAATGAAAAGACTTATTCGCTGGCGGATTATGGCTGGTGTCCAATTCGATTCCCACTGAGTCAAGTGCGAGTCTGTACGATGATCCTGTCGAAAAGCTTTGGACTGTTGTCTGTTCGACTGTGTCATCGACCCAAACAAAAACTGATCCCGATACCCACCAGTTTTGCCCGACCGGACCTAGGCCACCATCGGTGGCATTGTCCCATCCTACAACAGACAGTTTGAACTCGTGCGACTCCCCGTCTGTCAATTTCCCCACCCATGGAGTTACATCAACCTCAAACGACGGCAGCTCATAGGCGTCGATGCCAACAATAGGCTTCCAGGCACCGGGATCGACCCCGCCTGTGAACAATATTGGGAACGGCCATGACACGCCCACGAGGCCACCATCGATAAGCAGTTGGACCTCACGAAATGGACTATATCCGTATAGCCATCCAGGGTTCTCCGGGAAAGTATTCACGTATTCACTTGGCACATTCGTGAACCAAAACTCCTCTTCCGCATTCCCAGACGCCATGATTGAGACCACAACCGTCTTCGCATTGCGTGGCAGCGTCAAGTTCACCGCACCACTTTGATCCGGTAGCGAAAAGAGCGACGTTGTGTTTTGGGCAGATAATGCGGTTGAAATAGCATAGATGTGCTCGGCGGGTTGAAGTCCGTTGCCTTCATAGACGTCATTGAAGAACCATGCTTCAAGCGTGACGTTGAAGAAGCCCGTGTATCGGTCGCCGTCAATTATGTTGTTCAATTCGAATATGATCTTCGGTGGCGAGTCGTTTCGCAATATGCTGTCCCAAATGGTCATGTCTTTCTCGAATGACCAGTGGATCCCCTCCTGTGTCGGCATTGCGGTTGATGTTCGCCAAACCTCGACGTCACCGAGCCACAGGGTTGCCAGACGGTCATATTGGCGTCCTTGGGACACAACACTCAAATTGAAGATTGTGGTTGTGTAGTTGCAGTCACTGGGCTTGGAAAACCAACCAACATATGGTGCCCCATAACTATTCCCGAATTCATGGTAGAAGACTTGTTGGTGGCATGCTGCGTTGCTCCGGTCTAAGCGGGGAGGCGTCGCTGCCTGGATGACTTCGAGGGTAGCTTGGGCATACACCCAGAAGAGCGAGAACAACACGGCCAGAGACACACAATACATTTGTTCTGAGCAGCTTTGTCGTAGACAATGGTTAGTGTCTCACCGTATTTGCATAACCACCAATTTCTTCGCAATTGCAGGTTGACGGAGGTCGCCAAGATCCAAGGTAACATTGGAGATAGGGAGGGGCAACGAGCAGATCAGCAGGCCATTGTTCAATTTGGAAGGCAGTATCGTATTGACGCGACATCTTGACATAGCGCCTTCTCGTCGCTCAACTTACTGTCCCATCTGCAACGCACCTCCTTGCGCTGTAGCTTCAGATTGAACAGCGAAGAAAGTCAATGTCTTTCAATGAGCAGTGCGATACAAGCTCGAGGGCTTGCCGACACTCTCTCGCTGCCATCCGGGCTTGGGAGGCGATCTCAGATTTGAGTATCGCGTCCAGAACTGCGAAAGATAGTCACAAAGCCATCGCAACATTTCAGAACATTGCCTATCCTTGTGAGGTGTTATGGGTATTCAAGTCGCCAGTATACATTATCTATACACCAGTATTTCCGGCGGTCGATCCTGTATCACTAACATCGTCATCCAACTTTTTGTATGTACGGAATTCTTGCTTCTTTCCCAGCAGCCATACCACTCGCAATGACTTGAAGTTATGTTCTTTTAAATGTGGCCCCATCCTCACGATTAAGGATTCGTCGGGGAGTGAAGCCCGCCGTTGTTCACCCCTCGACTTGTACAATGTTTGGCTTATGAAGTTGTCAAAGATCATTTCAAGATCCCACCCGCTCTCAGACCGTTTTAGAAAAGCCAAGCTTTTGCGCGTCACGATTTGGCAAACCCACGATTGCTTGCCGCCTGAGCCCTCCCTAAGTCCAAAGAAGATAAAATACCCGCTCTGTGGTTCACGCAGGTGGCGGATCTCTAGAAGACAGGCGAAGGTATCATGCTCTCCCTGGCCGATGGGCGACAAATGCAGAACGCTTTGCTGGAAATCAAACTTGCCCGCAGGGTAAGTGTCGATATCTGGTGTTTCTATGAAGTGAGCTTCATCACCAGAGTTGATCGGACTCATGAAACCAATGGCTTTGGATCCTTCAAAGAGTCTCGTGTTGGTTGTCTCCATCAGTATGAGAACGCCGTAAGCTTTAACAGAAGGTTGAGCAGCTGGATGCGCTGCGACCAATCCTGGTCTAGTCTTCACGAAAATCTGGTGACGCCGCATCTTAGCCGCCATAAACCGGTAGAGATTCACTGGATTTCTTGGGAACCGATGGCGGACTAGCAGGGGAATATCTCTCGTGGCGGTCGTCTGAGAGCGCTCGTAAGCCATGGGCAAGCAAGCCCGCGTGGACATGTCATGCTGTGCCAGTCCGGCATTGAGAAGAACCAGAACCAGCGCGTGTGTGAATGTGGTGATTATAGGTAGTTGAATCGACAACCCGAGATTTGTCATAGAATATACGGTCAAGGGATCTGAGAGATCCTTACGAACGTATTCTGCTGACTTTCTGAACACGTGCGGTGTTGGTGCCAGGATGCTCACCCAGTTGCTCGGTACGCTTTCGTCGAACGACCAGCAGAATAGGGTATGATCATGTGAGATTTTGATGATCTCCTCCTGTAGCCGAAGGAATGCCCGAAGACCCTCTCCGTAGAGAAGGGGCATGTTAACCTCAAAAATCCCAAGCATGCAGTATGCGATGTCTTCTTCCCGAGTTGTCTCTCTCCTCGACAACCATGACATTTTCTTTGCGACGCTGGCCATGTTTAACTGGCTATGCCCTGTGAGATAAGGCATTTCTATCGAAGTTCTGTCTGATATGATAGACAACAACTTAGCATCCGAGCGATCTCCCAGTCGTCGCCATTCTTTCGAAAAGAAGGTGAGCAGCTTAGGAGCAAGAAGCTCTTGGAGCGTCCAGCCACGAGTGAACCACCTACTCTTGCGAAAATCATAGTTCCAGTCGCCGGCATGCTTGGTGACATCGTTCAGATAGGCGTAGCATACCTTGGAGTCGGCATACCACTTGAACATGGAGTTGATCGCCTCGCTCAACTCGGCCGAGCTCGTTTTGTCGATGCAGTTGGTGTCGACCCATAACCAGTCCAAGCGATCCCGAACAGCCCGATCGCACGCACCTATGATCTTCTGATATCCGCTCTTGTTGCTGACGACAGAACTCTGCCTTGATGTCCATTCCTGGTAGGTTACTTCTTCAGCGCCCCAGACGTGGCTAAGGATCGCGTAGACGGGTATGTCCTTTCCAAAGAACTCCTTCAGCTCCAACGTTCTAGTGTTGATTAGTCGCATGGCTTGCAATCACCAAGGAAATAGTAGTTCTATAACACTTCACTATGTCTGTGTAGATAATGTTGGTACTATGTTGCCGCACACAACGTCCCATCCCACAATGTTGTAGGTGGTAAGGTAAGCTGCATTTCCTGCCACATGCGAAATGCCAAGCCACTGTTTTGGAGCAGACGCGGCAGCTCACAATCCCCGCCAAGAAGAGAATGATCCCCTTAGACAAAATCATTACCTCCAGGACATACGATGAAAGTGAGCAGAAGCCCACATCACAATTACTCACAATTTATTTTACAATGGCTACTTGCTTTTTTTCTGGACAATATACATTGATGAATAATAACTTAGCCTGCGTTGGTCATTTCCAATCTCGTTATGGAATGGCCGGTCGCCGAGTCTAAGACACATTTTTTTTTTTTGTATATACTCGTATTGCGGCCTGCTCTGCTTGTCTCTCACACAATGATGCAAACATTTGAGCCAACGTGGGTCAGGTCTCAGGCTCTGGTACGGTTGGCCATAAGGTCAACTGTTCAAAAACGAATTTTTTACTACAGCCACACCACCAATTGCCTTCGCTTACTATATATATACGCCCCTAAAATGGATATATGCCAACTATTATTATTACTACTATATAGATATTTAATTACTAATTATCAAAGCCTTCGCAGCTTTTAACTTCGCTGACTTCGCAGCATTCGCGGCCTTTAACTTCGCGGCCTTCGCAGACTTTGTAGACTTCGTTGTTTTTGCAGACTTCGTAGACTTCGTTGTTTTCGCTGACTTCGACTTTGCGGCCTTCGCTGTCTTCGCTAACTTCGCTGACTTCGGTGTTTTCGCTAACTTCGTAGACTTCGCTGCTTTCGCTGACTTTGCGGCCTTCGTAGACTTCGACTTCGCGGCTTTCGCTAATTTCGCTAACTTCG